AGAACATTATGTTGTGTATTTGGTGTAATGAAATGTGTTTATGCGGTTTAAGGTTAAAAAAACACATTATTTTCCACATACTGTACATTATTGTTTCTCCTCTATGCCCCGCCTTTCTGAAACGCGTCGATTTTTACAAAGCTCATCGGTCTGAAAAATCGAGGTGTGCTGTGATTGGCCAGCTATCCAGTGCGTTGTGGTTGGCCGAATACCTCAAGCGTGAGACTGAAATGTTACGCCCCTCACATACACTGTTGATGCCGTGTCCGGCCGGAGCGACGAGACAAAAACATTAAAACCCATTACAAACGAGGCATTTGTTGCATCCAGTGGGGACATAATTACTGATTATAATGACTTATACTGTCTTTTTACGCATTGCGTTGCATCGCGCCACGTAAACATAAAACCATGTCAGCATCTGTGATCGGAGAATCTTTTTTTTTTTAATTCATTTTACAAAAATAAATAAATAAATAAATATCTCTGATCCAAACAGTGGAATACAGGAAGAACTGTTACTGTACCGTCTGATCTCACTGCAAAAAAACTGCTCCTCTTCCTCAGTATTTTTGTCTCGTTTTCCAGTGCAAATGTCTAAAGATTCATAAATCAAGATACATTCACTGGAGGTGCAAAATGAAGATATGAAGTCTTGTTTTCTGAGAATCTGATCAAAAGTGAGTTTATGATTAAAACAAGAACAGATCTTTAAAATCAACTTAATTCAAAGGGAAACAAGCTTTCAAATGCCACCGAGAGATATTAGTTCCTGTTTTAATAATAAACTCACTTCATTCTGTTCATCAAGACTTCATATCTTCATTGCATCTCCAGTAAATGTATCTTGACTTAAGCAGGGATGCAAACTCATCATCGGCGAAAAAGGTGACAAAGATGTGCACTATCCATGTAATATTTCACAATCTTATAATAGCCTTTTTTTTAACACTACAGTTGTGCAGCAAAATTCACTTTAAAGATTCACGTTTCATTCATGAAGATGTCTCCTGGTGGAAAACAAAGACTTTTAAGATGAGTAATTAGCATTATAACCAGTAGATGGCAGCAGAGGATCACTCATTAGCTCAGCTGCCTAGTTTTTTTCACATCTTGCTTTTTTATTTATTTTATTATGACAAATTGTAGTACCTTTACTGTACTGATGTTTGAAGTACAGCGAGTATAGCACATGACCTGCGGTGCACTCGTGGCATTCTGAAAGTTTGAGATGTTTTTATCTCGCTGCGGTGAGGACGCACCTGGAAAAAACAAGCCATTCAAATAAAATAATCAAAAGTAATTTCCACAAAACAACTATATGACAAAAATAATAGGACAGGATTAATCGAATAAGCAAGCTAACATTCATGAATTATACACTATATAACGTGATCAAATGTAACTGGTATAGTGGATGAATGAAATATGTTTGTTATGCCATGAGTTAACTTAAGCCCGGCTCACACTGTGATTTCAAATGAATGCAATTATAATTCCTTTGTGAAATTCATTTGATGCTGGCTGTGTTAGTTTGATTATTGTGATGCACATCAAACAGAACAAAGCTTCGACTTTGTTGTTGTTGTTGTTGTGTGTGTTTCTTATTAGAAAATTAGTCATAAAGGTTTGGAATGACATGAAGGAGAGACGTTTGTTGTTTGGTTCCATATGGCAAAAATATATAAAATATATATTTAGTTTTAACTTTTATATAACCTACCAAAAATATATTTTAAAATACAGAAAATTTCCAATCTTATCCAATCACTTGCCTACATTTAGGCTAAATGCAAATGTTGATGCAATAGCCTAGTAGATTTAATATTGTTGATTTTTTATATATATATATATATATATATATTTTAGTTTTTAAAGTATGTTCCTTGCCAATTTTTATGCAGATGTGTTATACGTTTACTCGAGTTACAGACAACAATTTAAGTTTTTCTTCAAATGTGACATGTATTTTCTTGGACTGAAATATATGGAGGGCAAAATATATTTTAAAAAGCTTTTAAAAATAATTATATATTTATATTGTTAAAATATATTTTTAAAAATATACAAAAAAAAGGCCAAAAAATATATTGGTAGAAATTATATTTAAATATAATGTATTTTGAAACGTACTTTAGCATATAATATAATATATATTTTTGACCCTTTTTTGGTATATTTTAAATTGAATTTTACAAAAATATTTGACAATATCTATTTTTTTTGCAGAATGGGGTTTGGCGACTCACCGATTGCATTTATCAGAAATACAGAGCCGAAAAACCCACTGTTCTATCAAAAAAATCCACATCTATTCAAGAGTCGTCGTCAATGTTTTTGGTCTCTTTTCCCATTAGAGAAAACTTGAACATTTTAAATGTTTACATTTGACAAAAGAATCTGATCAACGTTTACTAATACGCTATCATAGAGATAAAGACATGGACGAAAAACCATCAGCTTTTGATTCATCGGTGACCCTCAGAGCAAAACAGCTTTAGTGAATCAAAACCACAAAACCAGACACTCGTATCAATGCATCTGCTCTCAGTTAAGATCTAAATAACACACTGACTAAAGACATATACAGACGAATCTCTAATAATCATAAATGAACATGATCATAAATGTTGATCACACATCATTTACTACTGTACTGTCAAAAATCACTCGGCTTTGCAGACTATAAATCATTAGAAAAGGCACAGGACTTCAGCAACTGCACTCATTTACCATACAAATGTACAGTTAAACATTAATTCATTAAAACTGATCATAAGATTTCAAATATATAATTAACCAACCCACATCATTAACTCACTAATGGGATGCAATACTAATCAGATACTAGTTTTTCACATTTTATTATTTATTTTGTTTTCATTTTTATTTTAAAGTTTTACTCATTTTGTTGTGTTTTCATATTTTCCAGTTTTTAAATATCTATATAGTTTTTATTGATTTTATTTCAGCTTTAGTTTGAGTTATTTTAGTACATAACATTGCATAAATGCAATTGTGGATTAATGCACCGTGTTTTACACTCACCGTCTCTGCAAAAATTTTATCATCATATAATGCAGGAACATTGATGCATTTCATTTCCTTAGATGTGAATATTTATCCTTATGCACGTAGATTCTGTGAGTCTGAGTTCGGTGAGTCTGAGTTCAGTGAGTCTGAGATCAGTGAGTCTGAGATCAGTGAGTCTAAGTTCGTTGTGTCTGAGTTCGGTGAGTCTGAGTTGGGTGAGTCTGAGATCAGTGAGTCTGAGATCAGTGAGTCTGAGTTCAGTGAGTCTAAGTTTGTTGTGTCTGAGTTCGGTGAGTCTGAGATCAGTGAGTCTGAGATCAGTGAGTCTAAGTTCGTTGTGTCTGAGTTCGGTGAGTCTGAGTTCAGTGAGTCTGAGTTCATTGTGTTTGAGTTCGGTGAGTCTGAGTTCAGTGAGTCTGAGTTCGGCGAGTCTGAGTTCAGTCAGTTCGGTGAGTCTGAGTTAAGTGAGTCTGAGTTCAGACTCGGGGAGTCTGAGTTCGGTGAGCCTTGAGTTAATTGAGTCTGAGTTCGGTAGTTTGGTGAGTCTGAGTTCGGTGAGACTGAGTTAAGTGAGACTGAGTTAAGTGAGTCTGAGTTCGGTGAGTCTGAGTTAAGTGAGTCTGAGTTCATTGTGTTTGAGTTCGGTGAGTCTGAGTTCGGTGAGTCTGAGTTAAGTGAGTCTGAGTTCAGACTCGGGGAGTCTGAGTTCGGTGAGCCTTGAGTTCGGTGAGTTTGAGTTAATTGAGTCTGAGTTCGGTAGTTTGGTGAGTCTGAGTTCGGTGAGACTGAGTTAAGTGAGTCTGAGTTCGGTGAGTCTGAGTTGGAAATCCTGACTTTCTTCATCGACGGCGTTCAGTCAGTGCCTTCGGCCGAAAGGTCAAAGCGCTCTCACAGGGGTCAGAGGTCACCATTAATTTGGGCTTTACATGTTAAGAGTGAACAGATGAAGAACATCGAGAGCAGTGAAGCTGCACAAATCAACTACAGAGAACGAGAAATCAAAGATCGGCAGATAAAACGAAAAACAGCCACGATTTTTTATACAAGCTTTATTTACAACTTGAATAACAACTGTACAGTTTTGCAGCGCTGGAAGCACAGATTCATCAACAGAGTGTGAATGAGACGGTTCCTCCAGCCGCACACATACAGTATGTACATATTGTATACAAGCAATATAAAACTTGGCAAATGCAACGAATATTTGCTACTTTAGTATCACACAGATCACGACTGAAGTATCAGGTGTTTCTCTGCTCATGGACGGTTGTGTTTGACCTCTGAACTCATGAGAAACTCATTCAGCCGCCTGATAAAAACCACACAAGAACACTGCTGGAGTAACAGATACACTGATCGTCACAGACACGAGTCCGTCTCGTCCCGCAATCACTGTGCATTATTACAGGAATATTTAGTAACAGCTGATGAAGAAAAGCAGCAGAGCAGGTTTAAATGTCAGAATATCGCTGTAACATTGTGTCAGATTCTTCATCATCATCCTCATCAAAAGCACTTACTGATTTAGTATAAAACAAACAGAAGGATGTGGCGCTGGTTCCTCTGTCATTCTCACACTGACTCTACTCAAACACATCCAGCAGCCAGACGCTGAGGGAAGAATCGATTAAAATGCTGATGAAGCAGGTATGAGGAGCTCGTTTGTTCATGAACTACAGGAAATACTGAAACACTCCACAATGACCGATGAGGCTAAAATGAAAACATGAGGAACGTGTAGGAGTTCATCCATCTGTAATCCGAGCTCACGCCCACAGCATGATTGACAGGCGCCGGCCCCGCCCACTTCTGATGGGAAGGAAAGCGGTTAGCATTCTGGGTTAGTTAGTGTGCAGCGATGGGTTAAACTCAGCAGCATGAGCTCAAATCACACGCAGTCATGCAGCCCCGCCCCCTGATGTTGCAGCCACGCCCCCTGCTGACCTGCAGCCCCAATGACCGATGAGGCTAAAATGAAAACATGAGGAACGTGTAGGAGTTCATCCATCTGTAATCCGAGCTCACGCCCACAGCATGATTGACAGGCGCCGGCCCCGCCCACTTCTGATGGGAAGGAAAGCGGTTAGCATTCTGGGTTAGTTAGTGTGCAGCGATGGGTTAAACTCAGCAGCATGAGCTCAAATCACACGCAGTCATGCAGCCCCGCCCCCTGATGTTGCAGCCACGCCCCCTGATGACATGCAGCCCCTCCCCTGATGTCTGCAGCCACGCCCCCTGATGACATGCAGCCACGCCCCCTGCCGCTCATGCTTTAAGGTCACTGTGAGACAGAGAGATTGACAGGTGTCAGTCACACAGATTCAGCGGTGAGCATCTGCTGAGCGTCACTGGAGGAAGCGTGTGGATCGTGGCTTTAAAGAGTTTGATCCGGACCGGACGGCCCACACGCGACTCGCGTGACGCCAGCAGACGCCAGACAGGGATCGACAGCAGCTGTGAGTCTGTGTTAAGGCATCGGGAATGAATCAACAAAACAAACAACAAGCACCGAAAAACACTGGAAGAAACAACAGACTGATTTGCATTTAAATAAACATCATGACGAACACTTCTCTCTTTCAATGCATAGATATCAATGGAGAATAAAGAGGACAGATGAAAGAATCAAGAAGGACATCAGCTGAGAGCAGACGAAGAGCAAATAAAACACTGTGCGTCAGGAACCACCCTTAAAATACTGCAAAGCCTCCGGTGAAAAGCGTCCGACAGGAAAAAAGCTCTCATTAGTTTGGAGTGTGTTCATTAACTAATGCTGATTTGATTAAAGTGGGCGTGTCCGGTTACCCTGATTGGTCAGATCAGTGGAGGAGAATATTAAGACAGCGAGGTTGGGATGGGGTGGGGGGGTGGAGTCGGGCATCCTGATTGGCTGTGGAGAGGGTTGCTGTGGCGACGCTCTACCTGGCTGCGGTGGGCTGCACGTGGCCCGGATACGTCCGACGGGAGCTGGTGGCCTGTCTCTGACGTGCCAAGAAAGACTGACCCGAACCCGTGCTGGCCAGACGCTCCTCAGCCGCCTTCTTCTGCAGAGCCATGCCCTGAGCACACGCACACACACACAGACACACACACACACAATCACGATTTAACCCTTCATATCTGTGACACACAACAGAAAAACACAGATGCTCTGTATAACTGGGCTTAGTGTAACCACACCACCTAGTGCACACTACACCTGTACTAGTGTTGTCTAGTATACTGATTTTTGAATACATATTGATTCTGAATATTTGAAACCGTTGTAATATTTATTTTCTGCAGAATCGATACACTGATCGCAGCTGCGCTTTCTCTCTGACAGTGAGTTGCATCACACCGTGTGTGTGTGTGTGTGAGAGAGAGAGAGAGAGAGAGTGCGTGTATGTGTGACAGAGAGAGAGAGCATTTGTGTGTGTGTGTGTGTGTGTGTGAGAGAGAGAGAG